CCCCCAGCGGCCGAGACGCAGATCCGAGGGCTGGAGCTGCAGCAGCCACCCTGAGGCCATGAGGGCAGAGGCTGAGCCGGAGCAGGAGGAAGCTACGGGAAGCTGGGTCCCTGCCAACCTCCTTGGGCTGTGCCGCCCCCCCCCCCCGCCCTCTTTACCTGAGAAAAGCGAGTCCCCCGTGGGGTCAACCACACGATGGACAGGCCTCTGCCTTGTGCAGCCAAATGCATCCCTGGCTGACACGGCGTCCGCAAACGCTGAGTAATTTTATTAGAAAGTGCTCTCAGGGTAATTACTTTTGTGCTTCTGATTCCAACGAGAAGGAGGGCCCGCCCAGGCTGGCCTGCCCCTTGGACGCCTCTGTCCACTCTGCCTCCGTTTTTAATAAAACCATCGCAGGCCCCGGCCCGCCCTCCCCTGGGCCCCGGCCGCCAACTGGAATTTAATAACATTGTTTTCTTTCCACTGAATTTATTTTTATGATTATGAGTTCTATTTATGGCAAAGGAGGCTTGTTTTCCATTTGAGGCTGCTATAAAACTTCCCTTTTAAATAAATATGTTTAAGTTTTTTAAACGTGAATTTAGAGAAAAATGGAAAGAACGCAGAGGGAAGGGGGGGCACGTGGGCGGCTACTGCCCAGCCCCCGCGTCAGCCGCCTTCTGCCCCAGGAGTGGGGAGGCAGGTCCGGGAAGGGCTGCCCCCCAACCGCACTCGCTGGGGCTGTCGGTCCAGCCGGGGCGGGGGAGGGGGTGGGCGGCTGGCCCCGGGCCGGGCCTCTGGGAGGTGAGGCCTCAGCTATGGGCTGAGCTGCGGGCAGGGCAGGGAGCTCTCCTGGTAACCAAGCCACTAACTCAAAGGCCCGGCTCCTGCCAGTCCGCCCGGTGAGGCCCGACTTCAGAAGCCGGCCTCCGGGAGCCGCGTGACCTTTTCCTAATTAGCTGGGCTGTTTGCTCGGCAGCCGCCAGCTGATCTGCGGACAGCGGCTCCCGCTCCAGCCACTGCGCCTGTCACCCTCGGGCGGGCAGATCTCTGCTCCGGGAGCTGGGGGCGGCCGCCCGCGGGGCGCTGGGGGGACGGGTGGTGACAGGCTGCTTGGTGGCCGTGGGCAAGTCACCAGCACGTCGCGCCAGCTCAGCCGGGGGGAGCATCACCCCAGTTCAGAGAGGGAAACCGAGGCCGGGAGGAGAGGGGGGCCGGGCTCAGCTCCACCAACCTCCAAACCCCTCTCCCTGCGATGGGGTGCCCACGGGGCGCCCACAGGCCCAGGGTGGCTCTGTCCCTGGTGCTGCACAGAGAGCCGGCCAAGGGCTGAGTGCCCAGCAGGTCACCTGGGGTCAGCAGAACAGAGACGGTTCCTCTGGACTCTTAGTCACGCTCAGCACAAGCACTTCCAGGGCCCGGCCGGCGTGGCTCAGTGGGTGAGCGTCGACCTATGAACCTGGAGGTCAGCGTTCGATTCCCGTTCAGGGCACAGGCCCGGGTTATGGGCTCGATCCCCAGTGGGGGGCCTGCAGGAGGCAGCCCATCCATGATTCTCTCTCATCACTGATGCTTCTCTCTCTCCCTCTCCCTCCCTTTCTGGAATCAATAAAACGTGTATATATATTTAAAAGCAAGTTCTAGGGACAAGGTCCCAGGAGCAGGAGCTGCAACTGGGGGGAGGGAGGCAGGAAGGGGAGACGGTTCAACATGCCGAACAGCAGACGTTCCATCTGGGAGGAGCTCCAGCCTCGTCCTGAAGGAGACCCGGGAGACGCGCTCCTCCCAGACCCGCAGGACTCGCCGTCTGTTCCGCCACCTGCCCTCCCAGGTGGGCGCCGAGACACCCACCCACCCGTCCCCAGGCATCGCTCCGTGTCTGCCGCCTGCTAGGAGGTGAGGGGAGCAGGCAGCCTGGGCTGGGAGAGCGAGAGGAGGTGCCTGCCGTGGGGTGAGGGCGCGGGGCCTGACTTGACCCGGGCTGGGAAGGCGGGACCTGGGAAGTAGGGGGAGGAACCTGAGCGGGTGTCTGCGGGGTGTCGGTGTCACGCTTAGGGGGGGCACCCGCCACTGTACGCTGAGCGCCCGCTGTATGCTGAGCGCCCACTGTATGCTGAGCGCCCACTGTGTGCTGAGCACCTACTGTGTGCTGAGCGCCCGCTGTGTGCTGAGCGCCTACTGTGTGTGCTGTGTGCCCGCTGTGTGCTGTGTGCCCGCTGTGTGCTGAGCGTCCACTGTGTGCTGAGCGCCTGCTGTGTGCTGTGTGCTGTGTGCCCGCTGTGTGCTGAGCGCCCACTGTGTGCTGAGCGCCTACTGTGTGCAGGATTCACACCCCCACTGAACGCTCGCCTCAGGGGAGAGGGCGCCTCCACTTCACAGATAAAACCCAGGAGTTGGAGGTCAGTGACCTGCCCGGGCTCTGAAGACCTGCAGAGCGGGGACCGTCCAACACGTCTCCCCAAAGGCAGGCGGACTTGGAAGAGGGGCTTCCAGGCAAAGGCACCGGGTGGGAGAGCACAGGGCTGTTGCCAGGAGTCCCCGCCAAAGCCCAGCTCTGCTCGCCTGCCGGTCCTGCACCGTCATGGCCATGACAATGGCCTGCGGTCAGCACCGCCGAGCCCGCCAGCCTGGCCCTAACTGTCCGTGCTCCACCGCAGCCCGGGCCCGGGGTCCTGTCCATCCCCCGCTGCCACGACCACGGCCGTGTGGTCTCCGCCTGATGCCCGTGAGCACGCTCAGAGCTGATGCCCACCCAGCTGCCCGGTCCCCTCCACACCTTCTCAGTCATCCGTGCAGAAGGCTCTTGGGGACACGCCCATGCTCCAGACAGGGAAACTGAGGCCCACAGAAGGGAACCCAGCCCCAGGGCTCCTGATGATGTCGGCTGAGGGAGGGCGGGTCCTCACACCCCTCCCTCTTTCTAGACTTGGAGTGCCCGAGACGGGGTACCGCCGAGCACGGCCTGGCCCACCGCAGCGCTCGATGGAGCAGCGAGGGAAAAGTGACCATGGCCTGGCCGCCCGGCCCGCCAACGGCCCACCCCACCTCTGCCCGCTGGTTCCCTCTGCCCTCGGCCCTGTCCCCACCGTGGCCTCCCTCCTGCTCACCCTCCCCTCCCAGCCCCTCCCGAGTGTCACTCGAAGCCTCGGAGACGTGCGGGGTGCAACCGCCACCGGCAGAGAAAGGCAGGTCCTGGAAGGCGGAGTCGCCACAGATCCCCGGCCGCCCGCCGCAGAGCCGAGGCGCTGTGGTCACTTTAATGAGCAGGCGGGCCACCGACTGCGGAAACCAGGCCCAATGCCCAGACTCTGACGCCCGGTCACTCCCAGCAGCACCCCCCGCTGGTCAGGTGAGGGGTTACAGCCCAGCTCTGTCAGCCGCGCCAGCGGCGGAAACCTGAGCAGTCTGCGTCGCGGACCCGCGCCCAGGGCCTCGGCCCGAGCCGTCCGAGGACAGGTGACCGGAGGCCACAGCCGTGATCTGCAGGCGCCCGCGGGGCAGACACGGCAGACACGGCACAGCCGAGGGCAGACATGGCAGACACGGCACAGCCGAGTCACTGGGACCCTGGTGCCTCCGGGAGCTGGCCTCGGCACCGGGGAAAGCTTTCCCACAGAAGAGCCGTCTCAGGGACGCCGTGAGAGGCAGCACCAACGTGCCGTGCTGGACACGTGGTGGGCGGACACGCAAGTACACGCGCCAGACGTGTTCCCACCCAGCGCGGAAGGCGGGACCCGAGTCAGGAGGACCCTGGACAGGCCTGAGCAGGGCCACCTCCTCCTCAGACCCTTCCAGGCCCGCGAACCCCAGCTCCCCCGTCACACCCCGAGACAGCCCTTCCTCCTCCACCCTCCCCTCTGAACAGGAGCCCGTGTCTAAGGGACGTCCGCTCTGCAGAGCAGCGAGCGCCCCCGCAGGCCTGCCCCTTGGGGGGGCCTTACCTGTGGTCAGGGCCCGCCCGTGACCGCACGTCTGAGAGGGGCCGGCGCTGGCGTCCTCCCCCCAGGGGTCAGGAGCACCTTCTCATTCCTGGACACAGAGGACGGTGTGAGTCCGGGGGGGGGGCGGCCGAAGGGTCCCGCGGCGGGTCCACTGCAGAGGGACGGGGGGGTGAGCGGGCGGCCAGCGGGCGGCCTGCAGCCTCCGGCACCTGGAGGACCCGTCCTGGGTGCACGGACCATGTGGGAGTCAGGCCTCCGTGAACACAACGGAGAAGCTGGGACGTGCCAGCCCTGAAGGAGGCACAGGGGCACGGGGTGGGGGTGACGGGGGCACGGGGAGGGGGTGACACAGGGGCACGGGGTGGGGGTGACACAGGGGCATGGGGTGGGGGTGACACAGGGGCACGGGGTGGGGGTGACGGGGGCACGGGGTGGGGGTGACACGGGGGCACGGGGTGGGGGTGACGGGGCACGGGGTGGGGGTGACGGGGCACGGGGTGGGGGTGACGGGGGCACGGGGTGGGGGTGACACAGGGGCATGGGGTGGGGATGACAGAGGGGCACAGAGTGGGGTGACACGGGGGCATGGGGTGGGGGTGACAGAGACCAGAGAGACAGAGTGCAGACTGGCTGTGGGGCCCGGAAGCTCCCATGTGCACCGTATCCCTCAGCCCAAGCGCCCTGCAGGGTCAGCCAGAAACCCCCTCCCTGACGGGCTCTCTCCACCGGTGCCCTCCTCCCCCTCCTCCCCCTCCTCCCCCTCCTCCACCCCCCCCCCAGGGCACCCTCCTCCCGCCCCCCCCCCCAGGGTGCCCTGCTCGGGCTCCGGAGCCAGACCAGCTGGCGACTGACTCAGGACGCGAGCAGTGACCTTGCCGCGCCCAGGCCCACAGGGTCATGGTTCCCTCAGCCACGCGCCGCCCCCCCCCTCCCCCCGCAACACTGAGCATCGCTCTGGGCTGAGGACGGTCACGCGTCGCCTCACCTCGCCCTCACTCATTATTCACCCGACCCCCGTGTCGCAGGCGGGAAACTGAGGCTCAGAGGGGAGCCCTCTTCCCAGGGCCCAGGGCCGAGATGGGCATGGAGCCGGGCGTGGAAGAACTGGCCGCTGGGTGACTGGCCGCACGTGATCCACCAACTCCCATCGAGGAGGGAAGGGGAGAGGGGTGCCCAGAGGCCGCGGTCGGGGTGTCTTTGGGACAAGGGGGATTCTGGGAGCAAGGTTTGAGGGGGCTCGGGTTCACCTTGAGCCCCTGGAGGTCAGTGGTGACCCTCAGGAGGACCTGGGCGTGTCCCCTGCTCGGTCGGCCTGCACCCCCCCCCAGGAGCCGCTCCCAGGCTCCGGGGCTAAGAGTGGGAACTGAAAGGCAAGAAGGAACCTGCCTTGTGAGGGAGTGTGAGTGTGTGAGTGTGAATGTGAGGGTGTGAGTGTGTGTGTGTAAGAGTGTGAATGTGAGGGTGTGAGTGTGAGTGTGTAAGAGTGTGAATGTGAGGGTGTGAGTGTGAGTGTGTGTGTGTGTGTGTGAGGGAGTGTGAGTGTGTGAGTGTGAATGTGAGGGTGTGAGTGTGTGTGTGTAAGAGTGTGAATGTGAGGGTGTGAGTGTGTGAGTGTGTGTGTGTGAGGGGGTGTGTGTGTGAGGGGGTGTGTGTGTGAGGGGGTGTGTGTGTGTGAGGGAGTGTGAGTGTGTGAGTGTGAATGTGAGGGTGTGAGTGTGTGTGGGGGGGGTGTGTGTGAGGGGGTGTGTGTGTGTGTGTGTGTGTGTGTGTGAGGGAGTGTGAGTGTGTGAGTGTGAATGTGAGAGTGTGAGTGTGTAAGAGTGTGAATGTGAGGGTGTGAGTGTGAGTGTGTGTGTGTGTGTGTGAGGGAGTGTGTGAGTGTGAATGTGAGGGTGTGAGTGTGTGTGTGTGAGAGTGTGAATGTGAGGGTGTGAGTGTGTGTGTGTGAGGGGGTGTGTGTGTGAGGGAGTGTGAGTGTGTGAGTGTGTGAGGGAGTGTGAGTGTGTGAGTGTGAATGTGAGGGTGTGAGTGTGTGTGGGGGGGGTGTGTGTGAGGGGGTGTGTGTGTGTGTGTGTGTGTGTGAGTGTGTGAGTGTGAATGTGAGTGTGTGTGTGAGAGTGTGAATGTGAGGGTGTGTGAGTGTGTGAGTGTGTGAGTGTGTGAGGGTGTGTGTGTGTGTGTGTGTGAGTGTGTGAGTGTGAATGTGAGTGTGTGTGTGAGAGTGTGAATGTGAGGGTGTGAGGGTGTGAGTGTGTGTGTGTGAGGGGGTGTGTGTGTGAGGGGGTGTGTGTGTGAGTGTGTGTGTGTGTGTGAGGGAGTGTGAGTGTGTGAGTGTGAATGTGAGGGTGTGAGTGTGTGTGTGGGGTGTGTGTGTGAGGGTGTGTGTGTGTGTGTGTGTGAGTGTGTGAGTGTGAATGTGAGTGTGTGTGAGAGTGTGAATGTGAGTGTGTGTGAGTGTGTGAGTGTGTGAGTGTGTGAGGGAGTGTGTGTGTGTGTGAATGTGTGAGTGTGTGTGTGTGTGAGGGGGGGTGTGTGTATAGAGTGTGTCTGTGTGTGAGTGTATGTGTGCGAGGGGGTGTGTGTGTATAGAGTGTGTCTGTGTGTGAGTGTATGTGTGTGTGAGGGGATGTGTGTGTGTGCAAGGGTGTGTGTGTGTGTATAGAGTGTGAGTGTGTGTGTGTATGTGTGTGTGTGTGGGGGGGGTGTGTGTTAGGATGTGTGTGTGTGTGTGCACGTGGCACACGCGCAAACAGACGAGTGAGTGGCATGTAATTACCTAAAATTGTTGGTTAGAAGCAGATGTAAATAACCAAAAAATATGGGGAAGTGGGGGGAATGTTCATCAATTAGAGCTAATTACTTAACAGCTAATTGAAATAATAATAGTCTGTATTTGAATATGCAAATGAGACTGAACCTATCCTGGAAAAGGTAATTGGAATAAAAATTGAGAGGCTGTGGGAACTCAGAACTTCCAGGCGGCACCCCAGCCCCGGGCAGTGCCATGTCCCTTCCTGCCTCCAGGCCTTCGCCCCACTAGGTGCCCCCTGAATGCCCCCCCCCCGGCCCCCGCCCAGCACCACCTGCTCTCCCCTCCTGGGTCTGGTGCCCTGACAACCAGCTCCTCTCGGGCTCTAGCAAAGGCCGGGCGGATGGGGACCCCCCCACATGGGTCAGAAGCCAGGCCGTCCCCTGGGGAGCTCCGTGCTCCCTCCGGGATAGCCAGCGGGTCCTGCGTCCTCACCCCGGGCACCTCCCCGGCTCTCACTCCCCATCAGCATCACTGCAGACGCACAGACCCGGGTCCAAGGGCCCTGCCAGGCCGGAGCCCTACACCCTTCCCACCTTTCCTGTCCCCAACCAGCCCGAGGTGCCACCAGTGGCAGGGAGCACGGCGGGGGGGGGGGGGGGGGGGGGGCCTGGGGCTGTGCTCCTGGAGGATGGGGTGAGCCCGCTGGGGCGCTCGCCGAGCCGCTGAAATCGGGTGAAACTGGTCCAACTCCAGGAGCCCTGCCGTGGGGGGAGGGGGAGGGGGAGGGGCGCGGCACCAGGCGGAGCTGCCAGCGCACGGGGTGACCTTGACGCCCTGGAATGCTGTGCCTCAGTTTACCCCGTCAAAAGGGGGTGATGGTGACTGCCTCTGAGGGGGTCACAGCCCAGGAGTGTCTGAACCCACAGGCCTGGGAGCCCTGAGATCCTCAGAGGTCGCCTGGGCAGAGGGGCCAGGACACCCCACCCTGGAAGTGCACACACAGTGATATGTGGGGTCCACCTGGGCCCCCAAAGACCATCCAGGGCTCCAAGTCTCCACTTGCAGGTGGGAACCCACCTGGGGTTCCTCAGGTGAGAAACTGAGGCCCAAGCCCATCGACGGATTGTCGAGGCACCAGTTTAGTCTGGAGGAGCGTGGGTCCTGAGACGCAGATGGGTAAACTGAGGCTGCAAGCGGCAGCGGGCTGAGGCCCCTCCTCAGGCCCCATGTGCAGCTGGGTGGGGCCCTGCACCCCGCCATCCGGTGCCTCACAGGCGGCTGAGAAAGCCACAGGGAGCAAAGCCCAGCCTGGCTCCCCAGCCTCGGGAGGTGCAGGTTTGGGGGGAGGCGCCCCATATCCTCCTCCTCCTCCTCCTAGGACAGGCAAGCCGGGTAAGAGGGTGGAAAATGAGAAGCCCAAACTTGACATTTGCATTTCAAACACTTATATCAGCAAAACAAATAACAGTAATTATACCATTTGCATATTTTGTGCGGTGATTGTTTAGCCAGGAGGGAGGGGGCTCCTGCTGACGCCAGCAGCCTGCTCCCCACAGCTGCACCTGCCCCCCCATCTCCACAGCGTCCCAGCCCCCCACCAGGCCAGGAGACGGGGAGCGGGAAGACTCGACCAGCCCAGCCGCGATCGGGGTGACCTCCCTCCCCCACAATCTGGGCCTGGCCTGTCGGGAGCCAGGAGCCCTGTCTGTGAAGTGGGGGGCTGCCGGCTGCTCGGGGGCCTGCAGGTGCACCCCCATTACCTGCCACCCTCAGGCTACACCTCTCCCACTGCAGGCTCCGTCCTTCCTCCACCTCCCCCAGCATGTGGCCCCTCAAAACCTCTGCACCTGATGGTGCCCCAGCCAAAGGCTTCCTCCCACAGCTGCCCCTCCTGACTCCTCAGCATTCACAGTCCAGCCCAAGGTCGCTTCCCCACCGATCGACCGACCGACCGACCGACCGACCAACCGACCGACCACCCGGTGGGAGGAGCAGGGCTGCCCTCTCCGGACCAAGGGCTGCCAGGCCCCAAGCTGGCCTCACTGCAGGCCCAGACCACTGCCTGGCACACGGGTGGCCCTACTCACCATCCCATTGCGCCCCTCCCCTCCCCGTCACAGCGGGCCAGGCCCCCCCAGAGCCCCCACAGGAAAAGCCCTCGGACAGACGGACGGCAGCTCCCCTTTCGCGAGCAGCCAGGCCAGCGCCGCCGCCACTAAGCACCGCGTGGTCCCCCAGAGCCCGCCAGGTGGGGGCCGCGACGTTATTGTCCAGATGGAGAAACTGAGGCTGCGGGAAGGGACGTCCTTGCCCAAGGTCACAGAGGTGAGCCAAGGTTTGTGCTGGTCGGCCCGACCCTGGCTTTTCGCAGGACCTGCGCCCACGGCATGGACTGGCATGGACTCCCGGTGACGACACACAGGACGGGGCCATTAGTCCAACCCCCCCCAGTTCAGACACATGAAGACACGGGCCCCAAGCCTCTTCCCCCCCCCCCCCATCCTGCTAAGCTGCACTACCAGCTTTTGCTTTTGATTTGAATTTGGGCAGAGTCTCCGCCTGGGACTGTCCGGATGCTAATTAGGGCTCCGCCATCCCCTCCAGCTGCACCAGGCCCTCCCTCCTCCCTCTAATCCCCCCCCCACTCAGCCGGGACTGGGGTGGTGGGGGCTGGGGGTTTGGGGGCAGAGCCCCGAGACTCCAAAGTGCAAATGAGGTCCCTCCCCCGGAAACCTGAGCAGCAATTAACTCCCCGCTTCACACCCCACAGCCCACAAATTCCAGACGGAGTCAACAGTTACCTGTGAAATATTAAGCCATAAAAAAGCCAGATGAAAACAGAATCCAATACTTATCAGCCCTCGGGAGGGAGCGCGGCTTCCCAGCTCCGGGGCGCCGAGCTAATCGGAAAGAGAAGCGGGAGGCAGACCTGACCATGAGAATGAGGGAAGGGGCATAAAAGACAAAACAAAAACGAAAAGATGGGCAACGTTAAGGGGGGACGACTGTGCCAAACCGACCGAGAAACGATAACTGGCTTCGCTGGGCAGCGATCTCGGGGGCTGATCAGGGGACCCCGACGTGAGGCTGGCGACGAGGGGTGCAGAGCCGCGCAGAGGAGGGCACGCGGGCGGCTGGCAGGGACACGGGGCGACGGTCACCCTCCTGCATAACCAGGGAAACGCACGTTTGAAGGGTACAGTGCGACACCCTGCAGGCTCGTCAATGAGCGGGGATCTGAAAACCACCACAGGGGGCCCCAAGGTGCTCCGGGTGCCGGCCAGGCGACGGCGGAACGGGCGGGCCTCTCTGGGAAGCCGGTCGGAAATACAGACACGCGGTTCCAGCAGGCAGTACGCCAACAGCGAGACCTAAGCGTTTCCTTTGAGATCAAGACCGACCAAGGACTCCCACTGGCCAGTGTGGCTCAGTGGATAGAGCGTCGGCCTGTGGACCAAAGGGTCCCAGGTTCGATTCCCGTCAAGGGCAGGCTTCTCCCTGGGGCCCTGGCCGTGCAGTAGGCAACCCATCGATGTGCTTCCCTCACACGGATATTGCTCTCTGCCCTTCCCTCGCTCTAGCAATCAGTGGGGAAATATCCTTGGGTGAGGATTAAAAACAACGAAAACAAAACGACAGGCCTCCTGCCAGCGCCGCTGCCGCCCGCACTCGCCCGCACTCCGCCGGTGCAGCGAGGGGAGAGGAAGGAGGAAACACGGCAGGATTCAGAAAGGAAGACGCAGAACTGTGCTTGTTCTCAGTGTGCGACTGTGGGCATAACAAACCCCACGGACAGGTCAGCACAGCCCTGGCCACGGGCTGGAGACAGACACCCACAGGCCAGCGTGGCCTGGACTTCCTGGGGCCTCAGCCATGAGCGTCCGCGGGATCGATAGGCCCGATGCGTCGCCGTCAAACTCCCCGGAGCCTTTCCCGTGACACGCGGCTCTCAGATCCCTGGAGAGCGAGGGGCTGCGGGAGAGTCGCCCGAAATGAGCACACGGTGGAGGGGGCGGTGGCCAGTCCCTGAGCAGCCACAGGGCCCGAGGCCGCCTGGTCGTGGGACACGATCGGACCAAGGCTGGGCCCAGTGTGACCCTGTGTGGCCAGCCCCTCCCCACGCAGGCCAAGTGGACACACGGGACTCTGACGCCTTGACCGCCAGGTGGGCTGTGAGGGCAGCGTCCTTCCACCAGCCCACGGGGACCGCGGGGGACAGCGCCACGCCCCTGGCTGGCGGGCGATGGGGCCGGGGAGACGAGCCCCACCTCTGTGTGACAGAAGGTGTTTTTTCCCCAGAATGAATGGATCTAGTTCCCATGGGACAGGACCCCCACTGTCCCCTCCCTACCGCGGGGCCAGAGCTCACCGAGAGCCAGGGGGCCCAGGGAGGCGCCTGGGCAGAGGCACTCGGAGCCGAGCAGCCGGCAGCCAGGCCTGGTGACCAGGAGTCTGTGTGTCCCAGCCTCGTGCCTCGTGCCCTCGCTCCTGGGAGGGTCCCCACACGGGGCAGGCGGGTGTCTGGGTGTTGGGGGCCCCTCCTTGGAGGTGTATCCCTCTTGGAGCAGCGGGGGGGGGGGGGGCTCCAGTGTGGAGCGCACGCCTGTGAGGCTGAGGAGCCAGGAATCCCCTCCCGGGCTCGCCCACCAGCTCCAGCCTCCTGGGCCCTGGGTGAGGGCACCCGGTTGCCATGGGAACCCTGCCAGCTGCGCTGACTTCGCGGGCGGCCAGCAGAGGGAGAAGCTGGCTGGGCCTGCTCTACAGCAAAGGTCTCCGGACATCAGGCAAATGGCAGGGGGGGCGGGGAAGCCGCCGGCAGGAGGCAGAACCTGTGAAGGCAGTGAAGGCGAGGGCAGCCTCGTCCCCTCCTACAGGGAGGGGCATGGAGGTGGGCAGGGCCTGCGTCCACCCAGGGCTGGCCGGCGGGACGATGACTACAGCTGGCGGAAGCCTCAGTTTCCCTCCCTAGAAGGGGCTAGAGAGCACACACGGGGCCCCGGGGCGGTGCGGCTCTGAGCGCTGGTCCATGGCCGGGCCCGCGGCCTCGCCTGGCAACGTCCCAGCACCCAGGGCTGGGCTGCCCTCCCGCGTGAACCACAACCCAGCGGGGCCTCCCGGCTGACCCCACCCAATGCCTCCCACTCCTGCTGCTCACGGGGGACGGGGAGAGGAAGGACTTCCACACCACCGTCACGTGGGCCCCACCTGTCAGCACCGCTTCCATCGCCCAGACACCTGCTCTGCGCGCTTGGCGTTGCCATGGAGACGGTGGGAGGGGTGAGTGTGGCACACCTGTCTGTGTTCACACAAGGCTGCGGGCACCACCAAGGTATCCACACATGGTGTATACACAGGTCTGCTGGTGTGCCCACATACAGCGCCCGTGTCGTGTGCATGCTTGCACACACAGCTGCTGATCCACACACATGTGCATGCTTGCACACACCGCTGTTTGTATGCACACACATGCATGCTTGCACACACAGCTGCTGATCCACACATGTGTGCATGCTTGCACACACAGCTGTTTATATGCACACGTGTGCATGCTTGCACATAGCCATTTATATGCACATGTGTGCACGTTTGCATGCACAGTTGTTGGTCCACACATGTGCCCACTTGCACACGCAGCTGCAGATCTACACACATGTGCACGCAGGCTGTGTGCAAGCACACGTCAGCCAGGGGCGCATGTGGCCCAGCCAGGCCGCACACAGGCCTGACCACCATCTGTCACATTCTCACTTCAACTTAGCCCCTAACTCCTCGAGGAAGGAATTCAGGACACTTCCCACAACTTCCAATGAAAGAAATACAGACTCAGAGCAAGAGGGGAACTTGCCCAGTCACTGAGCCTCAGAAAGTCCAGAGCTGGGGGGGGGAGGGGGGGAGGCATCACCCGCCAGCGAGCGGCCGCTGGGCCCAAGCCTCTCGTGTTTGTGGCGCCGAGTCTGACACACACGCGAGGGGAGCTAATGTACTGGATTCCACGTTTACAGCCTCAGGCGCCTCCGCCCCGGGGAGAGCTCTCATTTCTCTTGGCTGCTGCTTCCCCAGGAGGCCGGCGCTGGGGCCTGGCAGGGTCCACACGGCAGCCTGGCCCGGCCCCGCGGCCACGCACGGAGCAAGTGGGGCCCTCTGAGAGCCGGGGCTTGGCCGGGAGGGCAGGAACCAGCTGTCCAGGCCCCAGAGACCAGCCCTGGGGGCTGGGGGAGGAGGTGCCGGCAGCCCCTCTGCCCCTGAGAAAGGCCAGCCTGCCCCTCACAGCCAGCATCTCCCCTGGGCACCCGGTCACGGAGCTGTGGGGAAACCGAGGCCCGGGGTCAGGGTGGCTTGTCCAAGACCACACAGCCAGGTGGCCCGGGAGAGGCGGCCGGAGCAGTGGGGACGACAGGAGTCCCTGGTGCCAGCACCGCCAGGAAGCCACCCTGGCGCCCACGCGCCAGCGCAGCCGGTGGCACTGCAGGCCGCAGGCAGACGGCGCTGGTCAGGAATGCAGAGTCGGCCTTGAAGCCCGTCGACTGCTTCATGCAGGGCCACCTTCCTCGTCCCGCCGCCCGAGGCGCCAGGCCGCGCTGAGGCCTAATGAGCTGTGAAGGTCCATTTTTCAAAGTTAAACACCTCCCAGGCTCCCCAGCCGGCCTTGCATGCAGCCTGGAGACAGCCCAGCGCGGGGCCCAGAGCCATTCGGGGCCTAGCCCAGGCCCGGCAACAGCAGGTGCTCAATAAGTGCTGCTTCCAGGGCAGGTCACTGAGGCTGCAGAACAGCGTGTGGGCGCCATGGATGGAGACCCCGGGCTCCTGGATCCCCCACCCCACCCCACCCCCTGCGCAGGCCAAGGTGGTCAGACTGACCGCCGTCTGCTTCCCAGGGAGGTGACCTGACCCCTGGGTGAGACCCCGCCACTGGGGGGAGGGGGGTATGAACCTGGACTCAGGCAGAGCGATCGCCTACTCCGCTCCTCCCAGGCTCCATGCAAGCCGCCCCTCTGGGCCCTCGGGGCAGCTTCTGCCGTCTGATACACCAGTCTCTTGAGCTGGGGTTTTCCTCACTCGTTTCTTCCAAGCCCTGGCCAAGCTCGCACTGTCTTCTCCCAATGTCTGCAGGTGTATCTACCTCATCCGTCCATCCATCATCCACTCATCCAACTTTCAGCCATTTTATCCATCTATCCACCCATCAATCCACCGTCCATCCACCCATCTATCCACCATCCATCCATCTATCCATCCATCCACCCATCAATCCACCGTCCATCCACCCATCTATCCACCCATCTATCCATCCATCCACCATCCATCCATCAATCCATCCAACCATCTATCCACCATCCATCCATCTATCCATCCATCCACCATCCATCCATCAATCCATCCAACCATCTATCCATCATCCATCTATCAATCCATCCACCATCCATCCATCATCACCTTTTCATCAGCCAGCCAGCCAGCCACCATCCATCCACCATCCATCCACCCATCCTTTTTATCCATCCATCCACCATCCATCCATCCACACACCCACCACCTTTACCCATCCATTCACCCATTCATCTATAATAATAAAAGCATAATATGCTAATTAGACTGGGCAGCCGGACGACCTTCCGGACGAAGCTGGGGCTGCGAGGTCCGAGGTAAGCGGCTGCGGCTGCGAGGGCCAAGCCCCTTGCACGAATTTTGTGCATCGGGCCTCTAGTTGGTCTATAAATACATCAAACATGTGAGGTACCAGTTCTGGACTAGAGCTAGAGCCCAGCTCCTCAAATCCTGGCCCAGCACCTTTTCAGGGTGCCAGGTACTCAAGCAGCTCAAGGAGGGCCCATTCTGTCATTGGCTATAGAGATGGAGACATATTAGGGGTCAGAGGTGGGGCTGGGGACGGAGCAGGGTGCGGCTGTAACAGAGCAACAAGAGGGAGCTGTGTGGACGGACTGTTCTGTGCGTGGTCTGTGTCGCTGTCGATACCATAGCTGCCTGCACCACGGTGCTGCAAGGTAGTGCCACTGCGGGAAGCTGGATAGAGGGCGCGTGGCTCCCTGAACTACTTCTCACAGCAGCAGGGGACTCTACAGTGATCTCAGCACTAAAACCCTAATTCTGAATGAGTTAAATAACCCCATTGGAAATGGTACTTTTAATCAAAGGTGGAAGATCAACTGGACTTTTATATATATATATACTAGAGGCCTGGTGCACAAAATTTGTGCACGGGTAGGGTCCCTAGGCCTGGCCAGCGATCAGGGCCAATCTGTGGGGCGACCGGTGGGACGATCCGGGGGGTGGGGGGGCCCGCTGGCATCCTTTTGGCTGGCCTGGGGCCTGCGGGCTGGGGGCAGCTCCTGCGTTGAGCATCTGCCCCCTGGTGGTCAGTGCATGTCATAGCAACCGGTTGTTCTTATGTTCGGTCAATTTGCATATTGGGCTTTTATTATATAGGATGGAGAAATGACACTTGACCCCTACCTCACGCCACAGGGAAAAATTTAATTCCAGGTGGAGGGAAAGTCTAAGAGCCAACAGCGAAAACGTGAAGCTTCTAGAAGGTGAAAGGCACCGTCCAGGACCCAGGGCAAGAAAAGACGTGGGACAAGCAACAAAACACGCTGCCCAGGAGGGACGGACGGCGTGGGCGGCGGGAGGAAGAGCTTCTCGTTAAACGGCGTGATGGGAGGCGTGGAGGGCCAGCCTGGAGGGGGCGGAGGGAGGCACTGGCGACCTGCACATTCAAGGAGGGAAGAGTGAGCCCGGCCGGTGTGGCTCAGTGGTTGGGCACTGACCTATGAACCAGGAGGTCACAGTCCGCTTCCCGGTCAGAGCACGTGCCTGGGTTGCGGGCTCCATCCCCAGTAGGGTGCATGCAGGAGGCAGACCCATGGTTCTCTCTCATCACTGATGTTTCTCTCTCTCTCCCTCTCCCTTCCTCTCTGACATCAATAAATTTTTTTTAAAACGTAAAAAAGAAAGAATGGAAGAGTTGCGGATACGTAGAGAATTCCTACAAACGTGCACGATAAAGACAGGCATCCCCACAGAAACGCGGATGAAGAGAAACAGATACTTCACCAAAGAGAACATCCAAATACCCAAACCTAGGCAGGGCTAAGGTTAAAAGGACCGACAAGCTCAAGTGCTGGCGAGGACGCGGGCAACCCGCGCTGAGCTGGTGCCGACGGGCGGCACTCACCGGGGGACTACATTGGTGCAACCGCTTCTGCAAACTCCTTGGCAATACCCACTACAATGGAACACACGCACAACCTCCACCCCACCTCCAGGTGACTGCCCAGCAGAAATGAGGGCGCGTGCCCCCAGGGGGGAAGCACAGGGTGTCACACAGGACGCCCGTAACTCCCGAAGCCGGGAGCCCGAGTCATCAGCAGCAGAAAGCTAAGCGGGGCGCTGTCTACAGCCCAGTGCTTAGGCCCCGACATGCTGAGCTGAACAAAGCCGGCCTCCGATGAGCCAGCGGGGGCTCCACCCCTAAAGCATAGAAACAGGAAAGCGATGTTTCCCTTTGAGGAGAGAAGGGGTGGGATCACAAGGGGGGGGCAGGGGGGCGTCTGGGGGGCGGGAAAGGTCTGATTCTTGCCCCAGATGCTTCTCATGGGAATCGCGCTCTGTGATCATCCACGGAGCCCCGATGCCAAGGGTGTTTTGTTTTTTCATTTTGTTTTTAGAAGCTGGAGTCACAGGGCTGCGCCTTCTGGCAGGCGGGAGTGAGGAGGCGCCAAGTCCTCCCCGAACAGCCACGAGCCAGTCAAAGCCATCAAAAGAACCACTCAGCCTCCTGAAGTTCACGAGGAGCTGCCGCCCTTGGGCTAGAAAGGCGGCTCTGTGCGCCCTCCCGGACGGCCCGGCCCGGCCCCTCCCCGCTCAGCGGGCGGCACCCAGCGCCCTGCAGGCCCTGGGCTGGCAGCTGCCCGGTGAGGCTGCGAGACTCAGAGCCGAGGCACCAGCTCCGGCTCGGCAGCACTGACGGCAGGATAGGCAGCCCCGCGGCCAGCAAACGGGCAGCCCCCGCGAGGCCCCAGGCCGAGGCCGGTCCTTCCCGGGCCTCGGGCCCCCGCTGCGACTGGCCACAGGGAGACGGGAAAGTGGCCATCTCGGCGACGCTGGGCGAGCTGTCCGTCCTCACGAGCCGGGGCAGCAGGCGGGCACAGGGGCCACGCCGCGAGGAGCCGGGACCGGCACGCCTCCGGGCAGGCAGGGAGTCAGGCAGCCGCGAGAACGCCGGGCCCAGCGAGCTCCCACCCCGCGCAGACCCGCCGCAGGGTGGCGGCCACCCCGCAAGCCAGGAGCACGAGGGGGCGTCCCGCCGGACGGAGGAAGGCCGTCCTGTGGTTTTCGTGGGACCCGCGGCTCCAGCGCCCGCCTCCCGGGAGACCGGCCGCCTCTGCGCTCCGCGCGGCGGGACTGATCCGGAGCCCCGTCAGCGCGAGGCCGGGAGGGTGCCACAGGCGCCCGTGCCCGAGGGCGGCCTCTCCTCTCCCGCTTGCCCGGGGCCGTGATGGCATGTGGGGAGCCTCCGGGGCCACGGGAGTCCCCTGGGACACACGTCACGAAGCCCAGCAAGGTCACAGGATAAAAGATCAAGACACGAAGCTCATTTTGATTCTGGTGCCCTGGCGACAACCCGGAAATGGAATTGGGGAATAATGCCACTCACCAGAGCACCCGAAAAACACAACAACAAATTCCGCTAAAGAAAATTCATCAGCCCGTACATCAGTGGAAAGAGTTGAGTTTGGAAACAAACCCTTACTGTGTACAATCCCCAGAAAGCTTACTGCAGAAAAGGTCGTCTTTTCAAAAAATGGTGCTGGGCCCTGGCTGGTGTGGCTCAGTGAAGAGAGCGCCAGCCGGCGGACTGAAAGGTCCTGGGTTCGGTTCTGGTCAAGGGCACAGGCCCGGGTTGCAGGCTCAATCCTCAGTAGGGGGCGTGCAGGAGGCAGCTGATCAGTGATTCCCTCTCATCGTTGATGTTTCTCTCTCTCCCTCTTCCTTCTCTGAAATCAACAGAAATATACATATTTTTAAAATGGTACGGAGACAGTGAGATACGCACAAGGACGCAGACCCTCGCACACCATCCATACACATTAAAAATGCACAACAGAACTGAATGCAAGAGCTAAGGCTACGAGAACCCTAAGTGAACGCACAGAGGAAATCTTTGCATCTTGGATGAGGCAAAGCATTCCTGCACACCGACATGCGCCATGAGAAAACAGTGGATACTGGGTTTTATTAGAAACAAAACGTTTGTGTTCTAACGGACACCTTTTTTAAAAAAAAAAAAATGGCCGAAACCGGTTTGGCTCAGTGGATAGAGCGTCGGCCTGCGGACTGGGGGGTCCCGGGTTCGATTCCGGTCGGGGGCGTGTGCCTGGGTTGCGGGCGCATCCCCAGTTGGGGATGTGCAGGGGGCGGCTGATCGATGTTTCTCTCTCATCGATGTTTCTGACTCTCTATCTCTCTCCCTTCCTCTCTGTAAAAAATCAATAAAAAAAAAAAAAATGAATGACACGCTATAGACTGGGAAAAGCTATTTGCAAATCATGTTTCTGATAAAAGATTTGTATCCAGAATGTGTGAAGAACTCTCACAATAATTCTGAATACTGTTAAAGCGCAATAATGAGATTTTTTTAAACCATTAAAATGGGCAAAGGAGTTGAATAGACATTTTACCAAAGAAGAAATATGCATGTCTAATGAGCACATGAAACAATGCCCAACCTCATGGGTCAGTAGGAAAATGCCAATTAAAACCCAGTGCGATCCCACGGCCCGCCCACCTGAAGACCGAGAACAGACAAGACGACCGCAAGGACCCTGGGGACGTGGAGGCACGGGCCCGTGCAGCCGAGGGCGTGGGAACCGGTGCCGCCCCTGGAGCCCTGCTTGGCCGTTTGTTAAAAAGTCAAACCACCACAGGTGGTTCCCGCCAGACTTGTCAGCCACACAGCATCACAGGACCCTCAGTTTCCTGATCTGTGAAATGGGCAACACGACCAAACCTGCTTTCGCCACTGGACAGGCGTGCTTTGGGGTTCTGGGGGTGTAGGGGTCCTGAGCAGGCAGACTGTGGCTGGCGGGGTGGGGGGGAGCCAGGGGTCCCCTGCACGGCCCGGAAAGGGAACAGGTCCCAGCCTGTCCCTGACCCGCAGCCTGAACCCTCCGCCTCCCCCAAGACCCCTCAGGGCACAGCGTGACCGCGGGCCCTGGGCTCCAGGCTCTGTGAGGTGTGGGCCAGGAGGGAAGTTGGGGTGGGGCTCTTGGGGGTTGTCCCACCTGCACAGGTACCTCAGGAGCACAAGCCCCCCAGAAAAAGGCAGTGTCAGGTCAGCGTGCTGGGGACACACCCGTATGAACGGGCACGCGCCCACGTGTGGAGACGCACCCGGGGATGGCATGGGGGGTGCATGCCACTTGGAGGGGCTGGGCACAGCTGTGCCCACATGAGCTCGGTGCTTGTAGGTGTGCCTGGGAGATGAGAGCATGGACATGTGCCGTGTGCTGTGCCCCCGGAGGCCACACTGTGCGCCCGAGAGTGAGTGTGTGTGCGTGTCAGATGTGTGTGTGCGTGTCAGTTGTGTGTGTGCCTGTCAGATGTGTGTGTGCGTGCGTGTGCATGTGCGTGCCTGCAGGTGTGGGTGTGGCAGCCGCTCGTCCTCGTCCTCACGTGTCAGTGCAGCCGGGACGTGGCCGTTCAGCTCCAGCTCGAGTGGCTGAGGCGGAGGTGACACTGATTTCTGGGGAGCTGTTTTTCTAAAAAGCCGTCTGCCCTTCAGAGGAGATGTGGCCTGTGCTTGCTCCGTGGGGACAGCCTGTCAGACAGCGGAGTCCCGCAGGCCTGAGTCCCCCCCGCCCCCCGCCCCCGCCCCGCAGACCCGAGGGCACGGCCGCCAAGCAGTGTCCCAAGAGCCCGAGGGAGCTCTCCACGCACCCCGATCCGCAACCTCGGGCCGCTCCACTGAGTCTGCAAAAAATAAAGCCAGAAACAGGTTCATTCCACAGACTGAGGGGCCCGGCATGGGGCGGGGACCCGGGCCGCACACGCACGCAGGTGTGCAAGGCAGGCACTCGGGCACACCCAGTGCCCGCGCTCCACGCTCACACTCGAACGGAGCCCTGAGCTGTGCCCCCCCAAGGAGCCCCCGCTGCACCCCGGCCCCTCCAGGCCTGGTGCCAAAGGCACCGTGGTTCACACCAGTCCATTCTCAGGGGTTCATCTCCGCCAGGAAGAGGCCTGGAAAGCGTGAGCGGCTGTCAGAGGGGAGACTCGGCTTCCTGCACGCAGCCCGGCCCCGCGCGGACGCGCCCTCGCGCCCTGACGGGTAGAGATGGGGCGGGAAGAGAGCGAGCGGGCGTCAGAGCCCCGTGTGGGCTCCCCGCCCCCCCCCCCCCCCCCCGTCTCTCCAGCCGCCGGCTCACTCCCACTCGTGCCCCTAAACACCCCTCCCAGCACCGGGAACCCCTGAGCTGTGCGCCCCCCTCGCCCTCGGCCGCTCAGGCCCCGGGGCCCGAGGCAGAGACAGCGCACGGGCTCCGAGCACCGCCACCCTCACGCCGGGCCTGCGCCCGCTGCCCTGGCCTCTGGCCCCGGACCCCACGCTGGCCTCGCCTCCCTCCACCGCCCCACGCTAGCTGCTGCCTCCGGCCTTCGGGCCTGGGGCTTCCTCCCGCACCCTCCCTCTCTCAGTCTCTCTCTTGGTCTCTCTCTCTTTCTCTCTCTCTCTCGGCCGCCTACCGGGCCCCCCCACGAAGGGAGACCGGCTACGAGGGGCCAGGCCTCCGGACGGCTGTGCGGGTGGGGCCTCTGCAGGGGCTGCTCCTGGGGGCAGAGGGTGGGGCCTGCAAAGCCCCCCTGCCCTCCCCAAGGGGGGTGTGGTCCGGGGGACGCGCCTGCCAGCTCCCCGTCTATGCAGCGGGTGCAGGGACGGCTGATACCAAAGTCCCCCCACAGAGTCCCTCACTGCCACTCTCCGGCCTGGGCCCCAGCTTCCCCAGCTGCTCAATGGAGGGGCTGACTCCGGGCCTCTCCGAGACAGTGGACGGGTCCTCACTGCCCGCAGGACGGTCCCCTGGCTGTCCCCACCCTGCCTCCCTGCCTGCCCTGGACACCGGACTCCCTCTCCCTGCACCAGCCTTGGTGGGTCTGAGCTTGACAGGGGAGGGGCCCAGTCTGGGGAGGGGGGGCGGGGGAGGAGCGGGGGGGGGGGGCGGTGGGGGGGGGACGGAAAGAAACCGGGCGATGACAGCAGCACCCTCTGCTGGCCGCTGCCCCCAGGCCTGTGCTGTGCTGGGGGCCCCTCCTCCCAGACCACCTAAGCGCTGCCACCCATTAAGGGCCAGCGCCCCCTCCTCTGGGCAGAGCCCCCCCCAAAGAGCTGGGGGCTACTCGGGGAGGGGAGCCCTGAGGGCGAGCTGGGCCTTAAATCCTGAGGAACTAAGGCTGGTGGTGGGGCAGGGAGGGAAGCCCCGCTGAGTCAGACTCAGGTCCCCCGCCCTGGGGGCTGCCCCTGAGCTGGGGCACAGATGCAGATGTGGGGCTGGGCTCTGGGACTGTCCCCCGCTCCCCCCCCCCCCCGCCCGCCGGCTCCAGCTCTCTCCAGCTGAGGCCAGCCTGGAGGGGGACTCCAGCCGCAGCTCTGCCTCCCTGCCCTGGGACCCTGGGGCCCCATCGGGGGATGAGGACACAGACTTCTGTCTGGGGCACTGCCATCTCCCACCTCCCACCCTGGACACGGCTCCACCACTGCCAGAGCCTCGTCCCCAGGCTCAGGCAGAGCGCACAGTAGGCCCTCAGCGTGGCTGCTGCATAAACCGGCAGGGACCCTCCCAGCTCGAATGGCCAAAGGTCCCGGTCAAGGTCCCGGTCCCTGCCCCGCGGGCTGCTGAGCCCAGGAGGTCTCTCCAAGCCTTCTCCTCTGCCCGGAGCTGCTCCGCCAGGTCTCAGCCGGTGGGCGAGACAGCCCGGCGCGAGGCCCCAGCAGCCCCCCTGCTCACCACCAGGGCCACCCTCTGGCAGCGGTGCCGGGGGGGGGGGGGGGGGGGGGGGGGGGGGGCAGCAGCCAAGGCAGGGCCTGCGCTGCTCAAATTCCCAGCCCTGAACCCACAGCCGGAGCGCTCGGCCCTCTCCCACCCCCTCTGCCCCACTCACTGGCGTCCTCAGACAAGCTCCTGCCCCTCGGCCTCAGTCTCCCCATCTGTACAGTGGGTGCTGGGATGGCTGATACCAAAGTCCGCCCACACGCCCACATCATGGTTCATGTCCCTGCGTGGGCTCCCGTCAGCCACCCCAGCAGGGCAAGGCCGGGCACCTGAGCTGCTGGAGAAATCGGAATCCACACGGAACAGAGAGAGGGGCACAGGGGGGGGGGGGGGCAAAGCGGCCGACGTGCATGCTTCGGGGCCACCTCGCCTCCAGGTTCCCGCCCGGAAATGTATGGCCCCTGCCCCCGCGCTGGCAGTCCATCTCCTGCCTGTCACTCACGCGTTTTTCC